AAGAGCCTTGGTCATGAAAGGGCAAGTCTTTCGATTCCGCTTCGGTCGCTTCCTGGGCACATAAGGCGCTGCAATATCAAGTGCAGCATTAAATTTCTCGGCCCATTCGTCTAACGTCAGGTCAGTGTCATTGGTTGCAAAGTGATGAAGATTGGAAGACAACAACGTACCGCAGAAGCGGTCTGCGTCGAAGCCTCGGTAGTCTCTTCGTTGTCTGCTTGGTTGCTGACCATCGGTGTCGGAGTTCCGTGTCCATCGGTGTCGGAGTTCCGTGTGCCCGCTGTGGGCAATGGGACAGTACTGAGGACCAGGCGTGGTCTGAGAACTCACAGTCTATAACGGATGCTGACGTGACGAGGTCTATGTTCGTCAGTATGCAGTCAATCGACGTGCGTGTCGAGGCAGTGATTCTAGTTGCGTCCTGGACTTTATTGGCCATCCCGCACGGGAGTAAAAGTGTGTTCTTAAGGTGTTGGAAAACGCTGGATGCCTGATGCAGGAAGTCTACATTGACGTCGCCTAATAATACAACATTTTCGCTGTCCAGTTGTTCTGTGGCTGTGGCAAGCCGAGTCCAGTACTCCACTGGCTCGGATGGGGGCCGATATATGCAACCGAACAAAACACCATCATTGACTGGTGCCGGTTCTGAGCCCACACAATTCTAGACTGGCATGCGAGTGGGTCAAGACAGGAGTCACATTAACTTGGTCGTTCACGTACATGCAAATTCCCCTCCTTTCCTGCAGGGGCTGCAGGAGGACAAGCACGAGCAGCCCTCAGCACACGGCCAATCACGACGGAAAAGAATTGCTCCCGGCACCGAGACCTCGTTGTCCGAGATGCTGGAGTCAAGCCACGTTTCAGTAACTGCCAGAAGATCCAGGGCATGTTGGTCTATTTACTTAGCAATAATGTGTGTTTTGTGTCTAAGCTGCAAATATTTATGTGGCCAACCTTTATGTGGGTATATGAACAGCTTACGGGGGCCGACGGTTGAAGAGGAGACGATGGTGTAAAGGCTGGAGCATGCGGGTTCAAGGGGAGTGGGTCAGTGGTTTGAGCCATTATGCTTTAACGGGTTTGAGAGCCCAGGCCTCTGTACCAAATCGCCACTCTCTTACAGTACGGCCAACTTCATCAGGCCAGAACGATTCTTCCGCTACCTTCTTGGCGTCCGTGACCAAGACTGTAATACGAGCAGAGGATGTTCTAAAGTGGACGGAGGTGTACACGACGCTTTGTACTACAGATACGCCTTGTGCCTTGCAATGTTCAGCTATTGAATCCGCATCGCAGCCCCCCCCCCAAAAAACCCCCAGCACGAACCGTGCCTTGCGCATGCTCGTTAGTATGCAAAATGGACGGTCAGGCACGTGATCACTGCATGCAGGATGTACAGTACATCATACTAGATCTACATGACTGTCCGGGTGTTTCTGCATGTACATGTACATGTACGTGCGTCCATGGATGCGCGCTTGTTCTCTGGCAGGTCAAAATTGACAGAATACCCTCAAAACTCTTCTGAAGGTCAATGGATCTGGCAAAAGATCGATAGAATTCCCCTAAAATTCCAAAATTTTCTCAACGATAGTATTCCCAAATTATTCCGGGAATAATCCGCGCACCCCTACACATTGCCCTCGAAAAATCGCAAATCCGAAGTACAAGCGTGCTGCCCGTTCTAGCACCAGCCGCTGTGCAAACACGTATGTTATGTTCTGCAAAAGTCAGCAGCGTCGCATGCACCATGTACACGGCCGGCCTGGACAGTCGCGAAGTAATATTTTTGGTTGTTTTTAGAGAGAGAAGAAGATCCTTTTTTATTCGGTGGGATTGAAAGATCTGCCAGTGGACCGGAGAGCTACAACACTGGAAGCAGAAGAAAGGGCTTGCGGAATCTTCTCTGTCTTCGTGGCAACAGGACTTTAGTTTGCGAGAGACTTTCGTCCTGTCGTCGCGGACGCAATTCTTGCTGCTGGCTACAAAAAACTCGGAGGACGAAACGATCGTAAATCGTTGGGTGAAGCGGGTCGTGTCGGTGAACAGCTGTAGAATATTTAGCCGCCGTGGAGCAGCAGTCCAAATACTTTTCTAGTTCGGAGAATGAAGCGTTCCCTTTCCATTGACAAGCGCGGCTTTCGCGGGTGTAAAGCATTTTCGCATCAGCTTGCAGTGGATCGTCATGAGCCAGAGGTACTACAAGCAGGTAGGTGTCGTTGTGGAAAGAATATAATTATGTTGTAGCTGACAAGTGACATACATGTAGTGCCTCTTGACCATGCTGATCGCCATTATTTTTAACACCGTAGATCTTGGAAATTTTTAGTTCTAGACCCAGTGATCGCCGCCAGCTCAGCTCCGTTTCTGTCAAGTTTTCAGTGAATGCGTCCGTGAGGAATCCATCGTCTGGTTGTCTCTACCCGTGACTCCAACTGCCTATCGTAATGGATAGCCGCCTGGAGTCTTGGGTAATAACTAACTGCTAGTACTAGGCATCTACGCTGTATGCTCCTCCTTGCAATGAAAGTAATTTGTTGCGATGTTTTGTACAAGTCCGAAGATCCTTGAATTTTTTATTGCTTTTTTCAATGAATTGGGCGGACCATCCTGGACGAAAAGTGTACGACCATGGTCGTAGTGGTCGTACCGTGTGTGATGCCCTTGATCAAAGACAGCTGGCCACAATATTCAAATAGGGCTTTCAAATGCAAGATCATAACGTGAAGCAACTTGGAAGAATGAGTATGTAAGCGAAGTGTATCGGGGTAATGCGCACCGGACAATAATGCGGGTTCGAATCCTTGGTTATGTCTTGAAAAAATATATAAAAATACATAACATCTTTATACACAACATCTATACATAACATCTCTATGCTTTGTTGCCTAGGTCAGCAAGGTGGTAGACGGTGTCGTATTACCCTCGAATGCAAAGAGAAAGTTTATATAACCCAATAAATTCTGCAATCACTTTGCCTTACTCATATTCAAACTGATTGAAACGTTTGTGCAAAACAATGATGTAACCAATCAATGGAAAAAAACATTTCCATCAGTTCCAATAACATGCATGATGAGCTAGGCAAAAAAGCATAGTGTATGGCCCTGAGCTTCCAAGCTCTCTCGTTAATAATTCTTTTTTCAAACGGGTCCAAGTAACCCGCCTCCACCTCCCCCCCCCCCCCCACCCCCCCCCCCCCTTCAGTTTCGCTGACCTGCCTGAACCGGCACTGGAGCTGATACTGCTCAAAGCCATAACCAACTTAATTGAAGACCAACCCATCTCAGATGCTAAGTACAGTAAAACCTGTAACTAAAGACCACCGTGACTAGCGACCAGCCTGGTACTAAAGACCACTTCGCCAGGCACGGAAGGTCTCACATTCATACATGGTTGGGTGGTGCAAACCTGTAACTAAGGACCACCTGCCACTAAAGACCACTTTCTCTGGCCCCAAGGGGTGGTTGTTAGCGACAGGTTTCACTGTAGAATGCATCATTCCCTATGAATTCTTCATCCATTAGGATGCGGAACTCTCTGCCAGTGCCGGTGTTGCCTTTACTAACTAACGGAGCATCTCATAAGTTCGCATTTTATTTGCAAACGTAACGCATTTCGAATAGACTTTACCCCCCTACCTCCCCCCCCCCTCCTCTATTTGAAGGTCTTATCGCGCATTTTCTGTGTAGATCTACTGTACCTGTGTCCATGCCTCATGCTATGGTATGTACATGTGTACAGCATTGGGTATGTACATGGATATGAATGTTTTGCTAGTGAAGTACTGTAGTGCATCCAGAAGTTACATTCATTACTGAAAAACATCTTCAGATATCGTCAGATGTGACGTTAGACGTCCGTGATGATTTGTTGGCTTTCACTTGGCGTCTACTTTCACCTATCTTTGTCACTACCCCAGTACCATTTGTGAAGTGTAAGCTAGCGCAAACTATTCATGTGTACCTCTCCTTCTCAGTGTGAATGATTTAGCACTTGTGATAGTTGTGTCTGGTAGGGTTCAGAACACCTCCATTCTGCACTATTCCCTTTTGTGTTGATATTTCACATATATGAGTTAGTTGAGTGTTTACACCTCAGTGCGCCAATATCTTTTCTATAAAATAGCATTATTCAGCTAAACCCTTTCATTCAACACTGCTTCTCCTCTGATGAGTTCCCCGTTATTATCTCTATGGAACGAAACAAGACTTGTCAGGAGTACTACTACTTGCTTTCGTGGAGTGTGGCTGAGGAACTGTTCGTGCTGTGATCTGCAAGCGTCGTGTGGTCTTGTCCGGTCAAATGAACAACCTATTACTATTCATTACTGAGAACAAGAACAGTCAATGACGTGTAGTCATCAATGGTCATGTACACATATAAACGTACATGTAGTTCCTCCAATTCCCCCCTCCATAACAGCTGTGCATGTTCAGTGTACAATGTCAATGTACTGCTGTATAAAAAAGCAGGCCAGGTACACGGTTTGATCAGGCTGGTGTGACATTTGACACCTCTGAGTAGCCTGCATGCATGCATACAGTGCAAGGGTTAGCTGATCTGCAAAGACAGGTAGATCCACACCTAAACCATGTAAACACAGTCATCTGAAGCGATCTAGCACATGCACAGCACAGTGTTGTACACTTCCAGAAAATGTGCGAACTGTCATTTTTCTATTCGAAACGAGCGCTCCCCCCACCCCCGTTTCGAAATGCCTTACGTTAGGAAAAAAATGCGAACTTATGAGATATGTGTGTGTTTGTGTATGTATACACACACATAATTTATGTGTGTGTATGTATGTGTGTGTGTGTGTGTGTGTGTGTGTGTGCGCGCACGCGCTTGTGTGTATGTGTGCGCATGCACATGCGCGCACATGCGTGTATGTGTGCATGTGTATGAATCTGCATGTGTATGCATGTATGTGTATGTGTGTGTGTGTGTGTGTTTGTGTGTACATGGTTTGTATTCGTTAACGATGCTACTTCCAGTATGGTAGTACACCACTCCACTTTGCAGCATACGGAGGTCATGTGTCCGTAATAGAATGTCTGTTGAATGCTGGACATCCATTGGAAGCGAAAGATGAGGTAAGTCAGGATATCCCTGGTGCATGCTTTTTTGTGTAGGAGCAGAAAGAAGGATTACCGTACTTTCGCGATTAGAGCCCTCTCTTGAATAGTGCTCTATGTTGAAGAGTGCCCCAGTCTCTATGAGCATGTGAACAAAATATATAGCCCTCCCTTGGATTGTGCCCCCCCCCCCTCCCCCGGCTTGTAACCAAGCGCATGTGCTCGTTTTGTGTTCCAGGCCATGTGATAAGGGTCGTACTGACGTAATGTCCTGACACTTCCCAGACTTGCCATTTTGCCTCACATGTCGCTGAAAGGCAACATTTTTTTAATTCTCGACCGAACGATATGAACGAACAAAATTTTCCTGGAAACTGCACACAAACCTTGCACCTAACCACATCACACATGCGCGATCATCTTTGCATCTCTCATACTCCCTGTCGAAAGGTCCTTGTCGCGCTCAGCAGCTCACTTGTCCAAATGGTGGCACGCACAGCGCGGAGCTTCGTGCCATGAGGAGGGCCCATCGTGGCCACCTTTTGTCTTCCAAATCCTTAAGGACTAGAACTGATCTCAGAAAATGCAAAATCGTCATTCTTGCACATACTTCTCCCACTATAAGTTGAATAACTCCACTAATAACTTGTAGGTCGATTTTCACAATCTCGGACTTTCTGTTAGGCTCTATCCATAAGTAATACATTTCCTGTAGACATGACAAGCATCAACGTAAATGTACAGTGAGCGAAGCATGCGTACGCATCATGTCAATTGCTAGCGAAATACACATCACAATGCAATTCCCTCAAATTTTATCGTAGAGCACTGGGATTTTGCAAAGACCTCTGGATGCCGGTAGCATGATTTGGTCATAGCACCTGGCTGGCTAGGGACGCGCAAAATTGGGCAAATCCCCAGCTGAAGTGCATTTTACAAAGCTCATAATACAGCTTGAGATATAGCCTGACTCCAGGACCTTGGGTCGCGTTCGTTCGGGTTTCTTCAAGACGACAGCTGAGAGTTTTCTGTTGGCGATAGATCTCAGTAGTATGTATAAAGCCGGTTCTGTGAGAGGTACATGGTTCAGCCCGAAAAGCGGGGTACTATTGATAGTACCCCATTTTTGGGGTAAAACCCGGGCGCCCGTTTTTACGTAAAAATGATTTTTCGGGTGAAGGGTGGATTGTACCCCACTTGCCCGGATGGGAGTGGGTATAAGAAGTAGATGCATTGTTGGATAATGTTTCATTATGGAGATGATGATGTGGGGTGAAGATGGATTTTGAATTTGAGATCTTACGTGCCTATGTACGTGAAAAGAGCCTTTGTGAAGAAGAAGAACAAAAGAAGGAGAAAAAGAAGAAGAGCAAGAAGGGGAGGAAGACAGTGTCATCATCTCGATAATGTTGTTCATGAAGAATGATACGTATGTTCTTCTTGTGGACTTGTCATGGATGTGGTTTACTTACCTGAAGTTGATGTGCACTCAGGTAGAATAAGGACACTTTTCTGGTGCCGCTGTACTTCAAGATCAGCGCTGCAACTCGCCATGGTGATAATGTGGCTGACGTCATGTTACCAAGGAAAACATGGCGTTTGGCCGGGTTCGCCGCACTCGAGCCCTCAGCTTTTTTTCACAATCTTGTTTTGAAAAATACTTCTAGTCTTTTGCAGCACTTTTGGAGGAGAGTCACATCGGGATCTGTACGAGTATCTTTGTCATGGCCATTGTCTTGTGTCGTTTTGAGCTACGTGACATTGAACGTGACTCTCTACTTTACATTGAATGTGTCTCTCAACGTGGCATTCGTGCGTGGTGCTCAACTTCAATGTGGGAGGCGTGCGCGTGGCATCACCATGGCAGTTGTATGTGGCGCTCAACCTGGGCGACATTCGACATTCGTACGATGTCGCACTCGAAGTGTCTTGCTAGAGTTTGCCTGACTATATATCTCGATCTGTTCTGTATGTGGATTATTCCTGTTTGCTCGTACTGTTTTACCCTCCCACCTTCCATCTCTCTTTACAAATTTACTTTGATAAAGTGAATAAATCATGGGGTGTTGCCCACGCTCATTTCCAACTACTCTTTTAGAAGCTTGGCTCCGCCAACATTCTGCTCTTTCAGTGTCTGCCGGCCGACCCTGAATCCTCTCTTGTACATACTTGGCTCCGCCAGCATTCTGCTTCCGCCGTGTCTACGCATTTCTCTCCGTAGCCTCTCACTCCGATGGCCGGCACTCCCCCGTACCGCAAGTTTCTGCATGTTGTAGTTAATGTGTGTGTTTTTTTTTTGAAAAGTGAGGCACGCTTTTTTCGGGCTCTCTTTTTATACCCTTTATTGCAGCCCAGCCGGCATCAGGCCGGACTGGAAGTAGACTAGATCAGTGATTAGAAGTAGAGTAGTGTCGGAAACTTGCCATGCCCGCAGCTACCATGAGAACTAACTATCGTGTATCAGCCTTGACTGAATCTGAGACGAAAATGTTGGGCTCCCTGCCTAGTCTCGAGTCGGATGTATCGGCAGTGCTAAAAAGTCTGGACGCACTTGTCTCCGAGGCCGCCTGTCGCGAGGATCGCCTGAACAATAGGTTCGATGAGCTATCCAGACAAGTATCTAAGCTGAAGGAGGAGGTAGCTTCTCTCAAAGAATCCGCCATTGCCGCTACGAAAGCTCCTCAGCATTGCCAGCCAGGACGTTCTACGAACCGTGATCGTACCCGTACTGACCCCCGCACAGCCTGCAGGCCGTGTAGCAGGAGTTCGAGCACGAGTAGATCTACCAGCGCGCTGAACCAAGGTCCAGCATCCGATGCGCTACGTGCTGAATTTGAAAATGATGCTCGCCCAGCAGCCAGTCCTGGCCACAATGTGGACAGCGTGAGCGAGAGTGACGCGAATGACGGTTTTCAGCAGCCACGGAGACGAAAGCGCAACAAGAGCACAAAGGTGTTGCAGCCTATCTCCGACGATCCATGGAAACTCATTGCAGATGAGCCCCACAGAGCAAAGAGAGCTGTCGTGTATGTTGGTAATCTCAGCAGGGAGACAACTGAAGACCGGTTACGCCAATTTGTTGATTTGCGTAGCAGGGCCGTCAACTCCGACACACCAGTAGTGCTCCATACCTCTAGCATGCATGTCAATGATAGCGGCTGCATATCTGCAACAGCGATGGTGATGCCAGCTCCCTGCATATCCTGCTGGCTGCCAACTTCTGGCCAAGGCCACTTTACTGCAGGAGGTGGACCTTCCACACATCCGACAGTCACAAAATGGCGCCAGGGTCAGCTCAGCCTGGCTGCGCACCAACTTTGCCGACCAATGATAAAGAATAATGGCAGCACTGGGCGACCCTAGGTGTAAACTACTTCTAACTAATGCATTTGGCCTGATGTGTAAGCTTGGTGAATTCCAGCACGTAGTCACCACACACCTCCCAGACATTGCCATTGTCATGGAGACGAAGTTTACGGCAGAGAAATGTACGATTGTGGATGCCATGCAGCCGGGCAACCAACCATCCATCCGTCGTGACCGTACATGACAGGGTGAAGACGTAGCTGTGTGGTTGCGGTCCGGTCTGGCCTACAGACATCTGGAGCAGGTGAGCTGCGGTGACCTGGAGGTAATATGGATTACTGTGCAACTACAATCAGGCAACAACGTAGTGGTGTCTGCCGCTTACCGGCCAGGATCGTGTTCTGACAGCGACATCTCCATGATTGAGTATATTGATAGCACAATTGACAGAGTGCGGCAGCAAGGATCTAACATCATTATTGGCGGCGATTTCAATGTGCACAACCGAGCTTGGCTCCACAGCACCAGGACGAGCGTTGCTGGTGAAGCTGCAGAGGACATGTGCACACTGCCTGGTCTCACCCAACATGTACTGGAACCCACCCGCGATGGTAACACGTTGGACCTGGTCATGACGGACTTCCAAGACCCCGTCCACATTCAGGTAAAAAAAAAGTAAATTATCGTATCCGTTCCCGAAAGGAACTCACGACGGCCACTAACACCTGATAAACCCTAGCGGCAGACCTGGACCACATTCAGGTACTGCCCCCAATTGGCAAGTCTGACCTTGCTGTCATCATAGCTACATGTAGTTCTCAGCTGCAGAGAGAGAAGAGCACGCGGAGAACCGTCTGGCGCTACAAGAAAGCAGACTGGCCTCGCCTACAGCACTTCTACTGAACCACAGATTGGGACGCACTGCACTCACCTGATGTTGATGAATACACCCGGGCGGTGACTAGCCACATTCTTCTGGGTATGCAGAAGTTCATACCATCTCGGAGACTTGTAGCACGCCCATCTGATAAACCATGGTGGACACCGGAATGCTCTGACGCTGTCAAAGAGAAGCAAAGAGCTTGGCGGCATTGGCACTCACAACCTTGTGTTGCTAATCAGAGCACATACAAGATAGCCTGCACAAATACCCGCCTCCGCATTTTTGCTGCAAAGTCAATCCACCGTCAGCGTCTTCGAGCTCGACTACAAGCAGGTTGTGGAAAGGATAAAGAGTGGTGGAAAACTCTGAAGCAAGCCAGTGGCCATGGACGCAACTCTGGCATACCTACTATCATCAATCTTGATGGCAATTAACACTCCACCAATAGTAGCAAAGCTGAGGCGTTTGGGAAGGATTTTGCTGGGAAATGCTCTCTTGTGGATGATTTCGAGGATGAGCCTCTCCCACATGTACAGCCTAAGTCTACCGCCACCTTGCACCAAGTGAATATCAGGGAACCAGCTGTAGCCCGAGCCCTCCGTCAGCTTGACACCTCCAAAGCAACAGGACCTGACAACATCACAGCTTGTGTCCTCGTGACGTGTGCAAACGAGCTTGCTGCCCCCCCCCCCCCCCCTGCACGCCTCTTTGCCACGTGTTTCTCTATTGGAAGACAACCGGCAGACTGGAAAGAGGCCAGAATAGTTCCAGTTCACAAGAAGAACTCCCGTTCACCCATCAGCCACTACCAACCAGTGTCCCTACTCCACATTATCTCAAAGGTAATGGAGGGCATTGTGAACCTCACAATCATGAATTTTCTAGATCGCCATAATGTTCTGTCTGCAAAGCAATATGGATTTCGCCGACGCCTTGGAACTGCAGATATCCTGACGCTCCTACATCAGCAAATGGAGTAGAGCTGCTGGTTCGGGAGGCTCATCCCGTGTTCTTGCAATAGACATAGCTGGAGCATTTGATAAGGTGTCCCACAAAGGTGTGATTCACAAGGCTGCTGTCTATGGGCTCAGGGGCCACCTTTTAACCTGGTTGACCGACTATCTATCAGCTCGGCATCTCCGTGCAGTCGTATCTGGCCATGAGTCTAATGTCTTTCCCATTACCGCTGGTGTTCCTCAAGTAAGTATACTGGGGCTTACCCTGTTCTTGTTATACGTGAAT